CGTAAATAATTTTATCATAGAATGGAAAGTTAATATACACTACTATTCTTTTCAAAGGTCAAAATATAGGGCTGTGCGACATATTTTCAACATGTAAATGTCTCGAACTTCTACGACTTTAAACTTCTGTTAAAATTGTGTACATCCCCTGCCTTCACTTTGGGTCTTCCTCATAATTCAATTTAATCTCTATTCATGTGTTTTTATACTGGTAAAATTCCCAAGTTGTGTCTCTATGATATGGAACATAGAGGTCATATTTAGGAACCAAAATGTCAACAAAACAAAATATCTATGAATATTATATATTTACAAAGAGCAACCGATATTAACATTTATTCAAATAGAAAAATCTAGAAAAATACTACTTATTTATCAGAATCAATAACGAAAAGATATCACTGGTTGTGCTCTTTTTCTTCTTTTACAGTATATTTGATACCCCAAGCCCAGTTTCACTTTTTAAAGAATTTGAAAACAAGACTTTTTATTACTGTCAATTTACCCACCGTGCATGTTTTCTGACCTGAAATGCATAGAACCTGTATGACACTTCTCTGATGACAAATTGAAAGTATTTCAGAATAAGTTTAATAGTTATTCATTCCAGCATTCAAGATTGTATAAAGTGTCTAATGCTGCCTCTATATCCAGTCCACATCTTACTGTATGTCCATTTAAAAGTTCACAATTTCTACCTCAAATGGTCAGTTTTTTAAAGTTTGTCACAATAATATCATCTCTTACCATATATTGAACGCAGTTTGGCTAATATATGAACTAGAAGGTAACCCCAGGGGTTAGGCATTTTTTCTGTCTGTTTTGATGTGAATTTATGCTGAGTCATCATATGTAAGGCCCAGGATTTTCTCAATCTTCATGAAATATTTATAAAACTATGTATTTGAGTTCATTTCATTAAAATCTCTGAAGATAAGCCAGATTTGTCGAAATTCTACATTCTCTTTTTTCACACAAAATAATACTTTGCAGTGATCATCAGATCGTCAATAATGGTGTAAACTTTAGTGATTGATCAAATGTGACGTCATTCGGATTGAAACATTAAACTAGGTTAATAGAGATGACACGTTTAATCATTGATGTAACTGAAAACTTTAATAATGAATCATAATTATCCGTGACTTGAAACTTTATACCAATTCTCTCAAAATATTTCTTTCATTTTAACGAGTCCTTTTGGTATCTTTTATGACAGTTGGTTTCTGTTTGATATTTTGGAGTAAAATGTAATACTTTTCGTTGTTCATATTATTATGCCGAAAGTGATTGCCAAACAAAATATATCAGAAAAATGTTATAATAAGTTCTTTTGATCTGTTTTTTTTTTTGTAATTGTTATATTCAGTGAAATATAATTCATTCTCTTAAAATTCCATCTGGTATGTTTTGATTTCGGCAGCAAATAAATTTGGAAGATTATAGTCCACTAGTATATTGAAATACAGAAATACATAATTAAAAGAAGGACAGTGTAATTGTTATACATTTTTTTATGTATTTTGCTTGCACTGATTATTCATTGTCAACATCTTTGACAGACACAAAAGATACTTAATGAAAGAAAGGCGATAGATACCAAAGGGTTATTCAAACTGTCAAGTCGAGAAAAAAAACTGAAAGTGCCATGGCAAAATAAAAACGAAAAATGATGGAAAGACAAAAAAGCAGTATACGAAACACAACATAGAAACCTAAAGCTTGAGCAACACGAATGCTACCAAAAACTGGATTCAGGTGTTATTTACCGGTGAATGTATAAGGAAATAAAGTATATGATTTATTGATTGTATAACTTATATTAATTAACAGTTTTTGTTTTAGTGGCCTTTGACATGTAGACGCTTTACAGAACAATGACAGAACAGAGGAAGAGTGCGGATTTTTTAAGAAGTATTGTATTTAAGTCATATCAGACTATCAACATTATATAAATTTCAACCTTTTGTTTTGCCAAAAAATATAAAGAGATACTGACAGAACATAACCCATTCTATAACGGTCAACCAATTCGTGATTGCGTCCGTAAAATTTATGATTTCAACTTCACCACTTGAAACTCTTGGTTTAATAGCGTCCTTGGGAGTAGCAACCCACTATCAAGGGCATAATGATAGGAAGTGTAAGCCCTTGGATATCGGATCAACTGGGAGATATAAACTTCATATGCAGGCGCTGCTTGAATGTTGCTACATAGAAATGGAAAGTTCACAATTGGGGAGTTGAAATCATCTCTTTTGTCGTGAAGAGACTCCGAGAATATAACCCATTGACTCAGGAGGAGTTTGAGGTACTCAGAAATGAAGACATATATCAAATAGGCAACATTTTAATTTTGGGTTAAAATTTGAAATAAAAAATATTATTGCACAGTGTTTGGTTGGTAAATACATATTACCAGAATCAGTTTTAACAAAATTGTTAAAGTTTGAATCTGGTCCTATCGTATTCAAAGAGATAGAAATTAAACTTTAGATGAGAGGATTTGCATTTCAAGGAAAAGATTAAAAAGGAGAGATAATTAAAATATAAAACGATATCAGATGAAAAGAGAACGAGAAAAACATAAAATTCCTAAGAACAAGGAGAACTTTCAGAAAACGAAAAAGAACGTAAAGAAAGAGAAAGAGAACGAGATCAAGAATTAAAGTAATAACAAAAAGAAAAAAAAAGAATTGGGATTTAAAGAAATAAAAATACAAATAAAGCAAATGACATTCGATAAGGGCTTACCTCACATTTTGACAATAGCGTAATTGAACTTGATAGAAACAACTATGCGCAGTCGTTTCACGGTCCACAGAACAGGAGGTGGACAAATATTCTCTGCCTCATAATCTCATAGTTTGAAATTGCTCAAGGACTCATGAACTCAATTTTAACAAAGTGTTCTTGTTGGTGAAGCTAGTGGAATTGATAGTATCTTTGAAGTAAAAGACAGTTCAAATTCTGATTGAATTCAGTTTTTGAAAACTTATGAATTATACCAAGAACCATACAGGCAATAATTTAGAAATTAGTATACAACACAATATAGAAAACTAAAGACTGGGTAACACGAAAAATCGGGGATGAAGTGTTATTTACCTGAAATGAACTAATGGATTTATTGATTGTATAAATTATATTAGATTAACAGCTTTTGTTTAAGGATGTACTTAGGTGAGGTTTAGGAATTTTTGTCAGATATTCAGACCCCTTGGGTTTTTTCCTACGACACAGGGTAAAATATTTTGCTACATAACACCCATTTTTCTTTCATTTAAGACTTCAATAGCTCACAAAAGTTCATTTACTAAATTTTAAGCCGATTGTATATTTCTTTTCTTTCGATTTGAGACCCAAATAATACCAATGCAAATATAAGGTAATTGTCCGAGTCAGCCTTTTCCCGCCATTTAAAAAAAATTAAGTATCTCGAAAAGGAGCTCCATAACCTTTTTAGCTTATTTTGTTTCTTAACTAATGCTCTTCTGACTTATAGTATCAATTTTAAATTCTATATTTTTTAATTTCACCTAAATACATCTTTAAGTGAACCTTAGCATCGTTAACTTAGAAATTCATTGTGAAGTGACTGGAATCAACAAACTATGCATTATAAAGAATTTAAGATTTTTATTATCATATCTGACTGTGAGCTTTTTTTTAAAAATATTTGTAAAATTAAAATTTCATTTTTTGTTAAATTGTTGGTTTAGCTTTTTTCTGTGACGCCATATCAATTGATTCGTAGCTGTAGTAACATGCCTTTTGTTTATTTATAAATGCTTTTAGATCATTTTTATTGTATACTAGATATAAAACAACAATTGTTACAACAACCAAGGTTGTCTTCTTCATAATTCCTAATTTGTGATGTTTAACATGTTAAGCCAAATTTTACCATGTAGATATTAGCATACTCATTCGTTAGCAATTAAACAGGTTTTTTTTCTGTAACAACAGACACTTTGACTTACATCAGCGAAGTTTAGGGTGAAAAGACGGCCATTTATGATAAAGGCTCCAGTAAGTTATCCCTTTAGACCACAAGGTCACATCAGAAAATTGTCTCAGGTCACCAGGTTACTTTTAAGCAAATTTAAGAAAGACAGTTTTGAACATTTTTAAAGATTACATATCATAGTTCATTTTAAATGAGACGTCAGGTTGCAGGGTTGCCCGCTAAACCCTACATGATCGCACGTCAGATTTGACCATGTTGGAGCCACATAGTATGTAATGATATTTGAAAAAATGAATAATCGATTAAATGTAAAGAAAGAAGTAAAAGGCTGGCTGATGTTTGTATACCAAAAATATATTTTGAATTATGCATAAGTCACGTAGCGGTAGTTTATAGTAAATGAAAAGAGGAAAAGCCCAACATTAAAATTGGTTGAAACTAATCTCGACATAATTTGAGCTTGTCATTGAAATACTATGTTTAACGAAAATTTGGACCACCCTAACTTTTCATTATTTAACTATTGTTGGAAACAAAATATCATTTCAAATGTTTATGAGAAACTGTTACATAATCCAGAAGACAATAATTAACACAACAGACTTTTGAAATACATAGAACTATCCAACAGGTATTTTTGCTGAATTTTTGTTTGAACAGGTCTACTGGAAGTTTTTGAAAGTTTCATGTCGAGAACTTTGAATATTGAACAAAGGAAAACCTTGATTGAAATTTAGAAAATGAAAACAATAAAATTTTGACTGCGTCATCAAATAAATAATACACATGTATGTAATGAGTTATCGCAATGTAAAACAGAAAACGTCACTTCCTTTTATTTTTATCATGAATTATACAGTAGCAGTTCTTTTAAACTTTAAATTCAATTGAAATTTTCATTTTCACTACGTTAGTTAATTGTTCGATAATTGAAAGTAGTTATTCATCATTTGTAAAAACAAAATCCCTGGCAACTAAAAGCATTTATGAGGCTCATAACAACATAAACAGACATATGTTGTAAGTGCTATGTAACGAAACGGTCCACTCGAACACACGCGAAGGTTATTAGAATAGGAAAAACATAAACACTTCATGGTCTTTCAATAGAAGCAAAATGTATCGTTTGACATTTTCGATAGTTTTCCTTTTTGTGTGGACATTATGTGAAATAGTCGTTATCAAAAAACAAAAAGACAAAATATATAGTGGCCATGTGCTGTTTGAGGTTCCAATGCCGATGTGGTCAATATGTGCTCAATATTGCTCAAGAATAAAAGTATGCAAATCTATTAACTTTATAGCAGCGAATAAAACATGCCAAATAAATAATCATGAACCGGAAACAAGTAAATGTAGTGGACTCGTTGAGAGTATTGGTAATAGCTTTGCTGCTGCCTCGACTTTTCCAAAGGTAATTACAATATGATATGTATAACAATTATACCAAAATATGTTTAATGTTAATGAGTGAGACATTGAAATCAGCACAATGTTTTACATTTTATGTTTTTACAGAATATATTGAATTCTATAATCCTATAGAAATAGTTTTTAAGCATACATTTTGCAGATTAATTGAGTATTAAATCAGGTGCTATGTGTTTAATAGGTCTTTTTTACGTGTTAGTGTTTACTATCAAAATAGAGTCCAAAATATTTTTGATACAGACACTTGAATGCCGTACGATGACCTATAGTTATTAATTTCTGTGTCATTTGGTCTCTTGTGGAGATTTTTCTCGATGGCAATCATACCACATCTTCTTATTTTTATACTTAAAATAAATTGAAATGAGCTGTGGATGAATAACATCATTTGTTCAACATGAGTATCATACTTTTTGTATATAAAGGAATTTAAAAAATTGTGTTGCAGAAACTTTTGAACGTGTAAATACATTCCAAAAACTGCTTTTTGTGACTGCATATACCTCTCGTTATAAGGAATTCCGTGAAACTTGACTTTTTTTTTGTGACACTTGACCTTTGACGTCAAACAATAGTTATATTTGCACTTAATTGGTAGTCATTTTATCTAACTATGTCTTCCAAATTTTACAAAAAGGTCTGTAGTATAGCAAACAAATATCAACAAATAGCAATATGGCGTATATACTAGTATATTAAATGCTCATCATTAATGAGTCATTCTATAATAATCCATTTTTACATGTTAGTGCTTCCCTTTAGATCGAGAACAAAAGATTATTCATACTGACTTTTAGAAATCAGCTATGGATGAATGGTATCATTTGTTCAACTTGAGTATCGCAATTAGCGTATATAAAGAAATATGAACAAATTATAATATGGCGAATATATATTACATGATCATCATTTATGAGTCATTCTGTAGTAAGTTTAGAGTATTCTTGTCCGTGGCTACCTATATTCATACAAAACTCACCTTAGATATCATGCTTAGGATTTAATAGAATGCATGCCCATTTCTTCTGTATCAAGGACACTCGAACTAAATCATTTGGTCATATTAAATAAGTAGTAAAAGACAATTGTAAAAACATTTCCCGAAAGGTCATGTAAAATTAAGCAGACATTTGCCATTTTTGTTTGTTTCGGCACTTGTACTTGTGAAAGACTCCACCAATAAATTGAGTTTGGGAATTGTAATTCGGTTATCCTCAACAAATTAATTTGAAATTGTATTATATATTTTCAGCTACCACTAATAAACAGTTCAAACTTTCATTTGCAGGATTTCATTTTGCCGTTCAAGAGTTATTCCCTTGAAAAAATGGAACTTTTCAAACTTTAGATACTTAATTGTAAACCCTTTCATTCAGAAATAACTGATGTCATCCCTGGCCATAAAACAGTGTATTATTATTTATCATTAATTAAGAGTAAACTACAAATATCGAAAACGTTATGACAACAATTTAAATATTAAAAAAATTATTATTTTTTATACAATACTCAAATGTCAACACCGGAATTAAATCGATTTACACGTTGTTAACATCGTATTTTTTCATTGATGACTTTTTTCTGGCTATGAGTTGTTATTCCATTTGCACTGATGAGTCTTATATAGACGAAACGCGCGTCTGACGTATCAAATTGTAAGCCTGGTATCTTTGATAAACTTTAACTAGCGCGTGGTCTATTCCACTGTTGTTGGACGTTTCGTTGGGATAACCAGACCAGTAGTCATCACCTTTGTATGCTGACAAGAAATATCATCAAAATTATAATTTTCTGTAGATTCACTGTTTATTAAAAAAAAATGAAATACTCAAAACACTTAGGTTTTTCTCCCCCCAGAAATATATTGACTTAGCCTTATTTGGAACAATTTAATGACATGACGATCGTTAACACTCTGCATCTTTTTTGCATTGAGCACCACAGATAAAATTGAGAATGGAAATGGGGAATATCTCAAAGAGACAACAACCCTACCAAAGAGCTGACAACAGCCGAAGGCCATCAATGGGTCTTCAACGCAGCGAGAAAATCCCGCACCCAATTAGGGTTTACGGCATATGTTCAAACGTTTAGAAACTTTGTCTTCGTGAAATCATTCGTGAGAAAAAAGTGTTCCAATATATTATATTTTGAATAAACTAAGTCAAAGAGCTCTAAAGATGATTTTTTTAAAGTTCAATCAAAACAACATGAGAATGCCTTTGTAATGCAAAGAATTTTTTCTCTGATCTGAAAATATTGTAGCTTTGGGAGAAATTCGCATAATGGATTAACAATTCATATTTATGTAACTGTTTGGCTTCTCACATTTCAGGAACTAGCTGGTCAGTGCAATGGTAATAAGTGTACGATCAATGAGGCCTGTATGCCAAGTGGAACGAATTACTATTGTGTTCCATTACCTATTCAGTTATCTGAAAATAGCACACGTAAGTTAAAAATAGAACTATAACATGTGCAATTACACAAAGCTTTATGATGTAAGATGTAAAAATGTAAGATTTCTTCAAAGAGTTATGAGGGTCTGGATGGGGGTCCTTCAATTCTGTATTCTTTAATTTTTAGCTCATATTTCTCTACTCTTTATATTTTCATTTTTAAGACTTTAAATGAGTCTACCTTCATATCTATTGTTGGAGAGAAACCGCATTTTTCACATGTCTTCGCAGCAGCTTTTAAAGGATGTAGTTTTATGTGAACTGGTAATTTTCAATAAACTTTTTCATAGTCAATCTTTATAAAATAGATATCTTGGAATTATGTTGTTTCCTATGATCTCAATAAAAATTCATAATGGGAATATCATAATGGAAGTACAGTATGCTTCATCACAATACTGTAAACCAACTTATTATTGCGAGCAATTTATTTATGCGACTTTCGCAAATATAAATCGTCTCGAATATGTATCACTTGGGTCTTTCCTTATAAAAATACGTTAAGAAAAATAGACAACCCCGACGTATCCGTGAAAATAAGTTGGTTTAGAGAAAGCTAACAATAGGTCGCCAGTATTTTGTTAATGACATAAATGATAAATGATGAACAACTTATTTTTTGTACTGAAGAAATGGTATGATATTTCACATGCAACTTTTACTTTTCTATATACCAAGATATATTTTCTCTGCCAGAGTCACCGGGAATAGAATATTTTTACTTTTTCTCTGTGTGGAGGTTGACGGGTTTGGCTAGAAAATCTAAGAACCAATGTATTAGGTATTATCGGTTCACGTACGGTTACATTGCTGATTTCTTTGTGCCGAATTATGTATATCCGGTATTTGATGCTTTAATATATCAGAAGGGATAAAAGGATTTAGAGATGAGGGAATACCTATATTTGTTTTTAGGTATTTGGAGAAACTTATCATATATCTGATATGGTACTTCCATTTCAAATAATATAATGTTGACAATACGATTTGTAAATGAACGACAATATAGATCTATTAAAGACAATTTTGTATTTCCCATTTTACGCGGGGCCTCTTAAACACGGAAAAGTCTTCGGCGGTAAAAAAATATTTCTTTTCTGCTTTTTTTCCTTTCGTTGAGCAGCTAAGTAATAATTCTTCACGACATTTTTTGTATAAAATAAGACAGGCAATTATAGAGATTTCTACAAAGATTTATTAGGGTCTGGATGGGGAACCTTCAATTTTTACCCATTATTATCCATTCTGTAAACCCAATCCAGACCCTCATTTATTGCATTTAGAATGGTTTCGTTTTGAAAGAAAAATATATAACTTGTAAAAAGGAATTGTTTATCAATGTTTATCAATAAAAATAAAACTATCAAGCGAACTTTTAAATACAAAAATATAAACTAACTATCGGGTGTTGTAATTTAATATCAAATAAAAGATTATATGATATCAAATGTTCATATTTGATCAATTTTGAAAGAAACAAAAATGAGAATAATGATATAACGTATTCGTCTTTTGCATTCATAATTTTGTTAAAACTTATCTATCTATTTTTCTGACTAATTATAGCCAGATAACATGATGAAGTGGTCATTTACTGACCACTCTTAAAGGTACAGATGTGGCTTCAGAATAGCCGCTACATGATAACAAATAACGAGAATATAGAAATAAGCTTTTAAAGTTTGGATTAAATTATTGCATTTTATCAGTACTTAAATTAACTGAGCTTTTAAAAAGCATTATCATTTAACAGTTATAATCAGATAATAATGCAACCACTGATAACTACATTTGTCTAACACATAACGAAAGACATATGAATCTTTTTTTTTTATTTTATTAGTTGTTATGTTTTTGGGAATGTTATTGTTAGGTAGAAGAAAAAAAGGTAAACGAGAGGACTTTTTGGAATTGTTATGTGTGCACAAATAAGATGTTCCATTTTAGCTAATATGTAGTATTTGTTGAGTCATTGGTTGCCTTTAAATATATATTTTTTTCCATGGTTTTGTACATTTTTCTACTAACACTTATATGTTGTTGAGTCGTTGGTTGTCTTTAAATGGTTTTCCCTTTTTCCCATGGTTTTTTATATTTTTCTACTAACATTTTTTTGTTGTCTCTTTGAAATGTTTTTCACAATTTAATTAGTTTTTAATAATCAATCACGTTATAGAGAAAAACTGAAATAATCAATCGTTTGAAGAAAAGTAAAGACAGTACTTAAGATCACTGATACAAAAATATATAAAACTTAAGAATTATTTATTATGTACTGTATAACATATTTCTTTTTTGTTCATTATTTTGTACATAAATAAGGCTGTTAGTTTTTTGTTTGAATTGTTTTACATCTGTCCTTTCTGGGTCTTTCATAGCTGACTATGCGGTATGGGCTTTAATCATTATTGAAGGCCATACGATGACCTATAGTTGGTTATGTCTGTGTTATTTTGTCTTTTGTGAAGAGTTGTCTCATTGGCAGTCATACCACATCTTCTTATTTTTATATTCACTTGATAAATGTGAATTTGCCAAATTGCAGTCTTCATCAGTTACACTACATTAACAATATGAAAAGACACGGTCCTTTATCAAGGAGAAACTATAAGGTACTTTACATCAAGGACGAGAATATTACGATGTCAAAAATTGTAAAATTGTAAGCTCATATAGATATTATTATCACAAAGTGTCATCGTTCAGTCGTTCTCCGTGCACTATACGTATATATTATCTGACATATAAGATAAATATGTAGTAATAAACAAAACAAAACAAAATCTACTTTTTAAAATAGCTTCAGACCTTCGCCCACGTGACTGCGGTGACCTTCCAGAAGGAAGTGAATCAGGGGTATATACAATATATCCAACAAATAAGAAGTTTGATGTTTACTGTGACATGGATACAGCAGGATTTGGTTGGACCGTAAGTGAAGTGAAGAAGTAGATTTGATTTAACTTTTGTTTCATTGTAATAGTATCATTTTGTTCATACAGAATACAGATATTAATGTTTAGTGTATTTTACTTTTGAAAAATTGGTATTCACTTTGTCGAACAAGTGAAATGAATACCAGTATTTTTCAGTTATAGATTTCACGACAAAAGATTGTTTTATTAAATAAAAAGCAACAATGACTAGTTTCAATTTGTTTTGTTTATGCTGTTTTCCTTTTACTTTTCCTTCTTGTTTTTAAGTATTTGCTGTTTGTGATAGGCTATATACAGTTTTTTGAACTTTCTGTTTTATTGCTGGGTTATTTTTTCATAAAACTTACAAAACTTGTTTAAGCTTACTGTCTCTTCTTTTTAAATATGGTATATACACTACATTGTTCAAAATCTGTCTCTATTGATTTTATGTTAGAAGAGTTAATCAATTGACACAACATAAACGTATTTGACATGTATGATATCGATTTCAATGAGCAAAACACTATTTACCTTGATCAGGTATACTTGATTAATAATGTTTGGATATCTGGTGAAGATTTGAAACGCAGATATACATATTCAATTGATCCATAACTGTTTAGTTATGCTTAAGAACCATTGAAAAGTATGCCTTTAGCTGAATTTGATACTTCAATTATTCTACTATTAATATATAAGTTTTGATTCGTAACATATCATCTGTCCAAGAATGTGGGTCTTTCACAATATATCTTTTAATAATTGCCAGAGCTTTTCTGTCAATAAAGAACAGTAAATGCCTATGAAACGTTTTAATTTCGATTCTTCTGATTTCTGGATTTGCCTTCATCAGGAACGCTTAAAAACAAAAATATGAAAGCGAAAAATGTACAATTAGATACGCACGTGAATTGCTATAAATTCAAAAAAAATATAAAAAGAATTATGATATATCGGAATAACGATACTCCATCCACACACAAGTTTACTTCAGTGGAAATAGACAAATCGCTGAAAATGTCGAGAATGTGTTTTATTTTATTTCATTTTTATTAATGTTCTTAAATTTTTGAAAAGGTTTTCCAGAGCAGAATAAACGGAAATGTTGATTTTTACAAAGGATGGACCGATTATGAAATTGGATTTGGAAATTTGAAATCTGAGTTTTGGTTGGGTAATTTTCTCTTTATAATCCATTGAAAAACACCTTGTCCATTCAGCACAGCTAGTTAAGCCATCTTTGTTAAGTTTTTTGTATCCTATTCGAGTACAAAGTTTTTCAACTATAATGAAGAAAGATTGGTAAATGATTTCTTTGTATAAGAATGTTAACAATATCAAGCGGAGACAATTCACGTTTGATTTAAAGGCTATTATTTGAGAATGCTACTTGTTTAGCTTAAACTTTTGGAATAAGGTTGAAACTTTTTTATCAATAAGGCAATTTGACCTATATATCGTTCAATTGTTTACACATGTCATAGATTATCAAAATAATGAATTAAACACCCACCCAAAATCATAGATTTCTATGATTAGGAAATTAAAACACAGAACAAACACACTTTTCTGTTTTTCATAAAACATGAACATAGGATTCGATCAAGAAAGTTTTGTCTATGTATTTTTGTGCTGTAATATTATGTTTTGTTTTTAAATGCCTATTTTTTTATACGGATGATAGCAAAAAGTAAAATATAAAAAGAACCGAACTGCAAGGAAAAATTTAAAATGGAAAGTCCCTTATCAAATGGCAAAATCATAAGATTAAACACATCAAACGAATGGAAAACAACTTGCATATTCCTGACTTGGTACAGGCATTTCGAAATTAGTGGATTAAACCTGATTGTATAGCCAGCTAACCTCTCACGTGTATGACAGTCGCATAGAACTGAAACTATTTCTTACTAATACAATTGAGTACAAACTGAGTAGCTCTAACAAATAACAAAATCCTATTAACCCATACAGCCATTTAAGCGCAGTTAAGAATTATAGGATTAATAAAGAAATGATAAGCCGATCGATGGACATTTGTTCTCATATTTATTTCTTATTTTCCTTTTGCACAGGAAATAATTTCATAAATGTTCTTACCTCTTCTGGAAACTACAAGCTTTACATACACCTTGAAGATTTTAGAGGGAATTCAAGATATGCAGAGTATGACGAATTCTGTGTCGGAGATGCCACAACACAGTATACTTTGAATATAGATGGATATAGCGGTGATGCAGATATAACTTCACAACATCACTTGAGTATTTCGAATAAAGGGAGGAGTGATATATTCCAATGAGATATCAATCCAACACTATAAACAACATAAAATCTGCATAACAAAATGCTGAATTATACTAGTTAAAATGTTTACTACATTATCATTGAAACGAAATTTTAATAAAAGGTATAGCTAGTTAATTTAAACAAAATGTTCAGAAAATTCATAATTACAAGTACTGTACTTCGTTTAATAATTCATTCGCAATGATTTTAAATAATAGAATACAAAAATAAATAAATATCAACTAATTCTGGTACGAAATTTCTTTATTACGAATTGAAGGAGAACGAAGACGTGCTATTGATTGTTATTTTATTTCGTTGGACACTTTTGATTTTTTAACTCGTTACACTCTTCTTCCGCAAAATCTTATCAAACAAAAGTTTTCCTCTTTAATAAAATGGTCGTTTGAAAAATCCTATTACAAATGTATTTGCTGTAACTCATATAAAGTCTTCTTCTCTATTGAGAAAAAAAAATGCTAAATATACTTACTGGAAGTGTGATGAAATGATAAAAGATGTAAATTTTCTCCTTGACAACATTTATGTACGTTTCGGCAATATAGTTTATCGACAGGTTGTAGGTATTTCTATGAACACCAGCTGCGCCCCTTTCATAGCAAACTTGTTCGTGAACTGTTATAAATCACAGTATTTGGCCAAACCCAGTAAAGACCCGTCTTGAATCCATTTAATTGATAAATTAAACCACACTTACCGTTATCTTGATAATATTTGTTTTGGTTAAATGATCAAGAATTCTCTAAATATACTGCCAAAATTTACCCAAAGGAACTTACTTTAAATGAATCAAATATAAATATCATTGACTGTCCTTTCCTATATTTACATATTTCAGTTACATACGGGAAACTCTATACAAACATTTACGACAAAAGGGACGATGTTTCGTTGCCTGTTGTTACTTTTCATTTTTCGAACGGGGATGTTCCTTTTGGCACCATCTTACAGTGTTAATACATCCCAACTCGTTCGCTATGCCTGTGTCTGTAGTCACGTTTTGGATTTCAGTGAATGTAATCTATGTACTACTGGTAAATCATTAAGTCAAGAATTTCGTACTTAAAACATTTACTAAATTCGTTCATAGATACACACATCAGGTTTGTAAGATTAGCTGTATCAGCATCAAGGTGTTTTGCCAGTCAGTAGGTTAACACCTCTTAGAAGGACTACAAACTTGTAAGTGTTCTTTTGTCCAGTTATGATAAAAATAATCATCAACTTATTTAATTTTTCGCAATAAAATACAACCATACACTCTGGTTTCCACAATGTGTTCATCTTCTTTCTTTTTATGTGCTTCAATACTATCAGAGATGCAGCCAAGACGACACTATTCCTATTCACCTTGAGAACATTACGATCAGCTCCAGGACTTTGATCAGTAAACATGCACAAATGACATATACATCCATATCGACAACCTGAAAAAAAATAAGATCATGACATATCGCTATCTTAATGATATAAAGAACAAACTTATTACAAACAGGATAGCACATCCTAATTTTAACGGTTGTTGTAAACCAAGCCCCGAAATTTATATACGATCTGGGTAAAATTATCGATCCTTTAAATTAACTTATTATAAAAGGTTACCAATTCAATTCTGTTGTTAGTTATGTGAATATTGTTTTATCGGTATACATATTGATTTTTTTATCAATAAATTAAAACCTAACTACATATATAATGTCGATACCTATATTTTGGCATTGCACAAAGATCGTGTTTTTCTCTCACTGTTAAAGAGTCGTTACTCTCAATCAATTGAATGTTGGATGTGTACTAATTGATATTTTAGTCTTCGATACCTGATTTGTTTATTAGTTTTTATTGTCTTTGAACTAGTTTTCAGTAACTGTGAGTACTCTCATATCTGTACATTGTGCCTTTTTTGTTTTTGTTAGTTTGTTTTTTGTGTTTTGTATTGATCTGATAAGTCAAGCCCTTTTCAAATGATGTTTTGAGTATGTTTGTTTTATGTTGTACTTGTTACAATACTGTCCCAAGTTAGGGGAAGGGTTTGGCGCCAGCAAACATGTTTAGCCACACCATATTCTGTATGTGCCTGTGACAGGAACCTGTAATTTAGTGGTGTCGGTTTGTGCTGTATGTCATATTTGTTTTCGGTTATTGTTTTGTACATAAAGTTAGGCCTTTAGTTTTCTCATTTGCATTGTTTTACATTTGATAGTAGGGGCCTTTTATTGCTTACTGTGGGGTATGGGTTTTGTTCATTCGTGAAGGCCATGCAGTGACCTATAGTTTTTTAAATTCTACGTCGTGTGGTCTCTGGTAGAGATTTGTCCCATTGGCAATCATTCCACATCTTTTTATTTTTCTAAAGACTTACCACTTCATCAAATCCTTTAAGCTACGAAAAAGTTAATTTGGGTCAGATAAATCGAAATGTTGCGGGATATACTTGTTCCTGCTACATGTCGAGAATGTCATCAAAAGTTGTGATATATCATTCCATAGTGTTTGTTTTCTTTGTTTGTTTTGGAGGGGGCGCTAGTTTTTTTCAACTTGGATAACTTGGTATTGATGAATCTCCTAGATTCTTGTTGTTTAATTCATGACCTTTTTTAGACTTGGAACAATATATAGCTTGAAATATAATATACACATTTTTATGACAACATCGAAATGTGTATTATAATTTTTTCCCTTGGTTACCGTCACATTGACGTATAACCCTCACTATCTTCTCTGACTCATACAATCAGAACTTTCTGTAAAAGAAATTTTAGTTGTAATAAAAAAGTAAAGGGGTAAGACTCATCTAGATAAACTCTCATTCTCTTAAACATGTATGTAGTCTCTTATGATGGTTAATTTATAGGCAACACTGAAAATCCTATGTTATAATTTTTGTTCCTAATGTTTTGGCTCAAAGACTTTAATATTTTCATTTTTCAAGTAAAAAACAGGAATTGAATATATTAACATTTATTGTCGAGCCGCATATCTGGTGAAGTGAAATTGGTACCTTTAATGTTATTATTATCAATAGATTGCTACCTCTGCGGGTTAATTTAGTATCTCAGGGTATCACCAGTCATGTTACCAGTACTCTTGTAGGGGCTTGAAAATACGAATATTGTTTAATTAAATTTTGATGCTATAACATTTTGAAAATCTTTTTAGTTTAAGGAATATATCTTCCAACGTTTGAATTGAGTTTGTATTTCCAAATATTTTGGGTTGGAGCATCACTGACGAGTCATTAATTGTCGAAACGCTCACCTGGCGCAGTAAAACTTGTACCATTAATGTTATTAATTTTCAATATTTTTCGAAACAAATGACATAACGTCAGAACGAAATGAGGTATAATCAGCCTATTTCTTGCAAAGTGTTTCTTATATAAGTTTATATCAAATTAAATCAAATCCAATCTTTATTCATTTTTTTTCAGAGGATTCCTTTGAGCCCCAGAACGGCATGATGTTTTCTACTAAAGACAAGGATAATGACAGAAACAAAGGCAGTTGTGCACAAAAATTTAAAGGAGCATGGTGGTACAAATCATGTCATTCTTCTAATTTGAATGGGGAATATTTAGGAGGCCGTCACTCGAATTATGCCAATGGTATCACATGGAGTAGATGGACAGGAAATTATTACTCATTGAAAACTACTAGAATGATGATTAAACGGCACTAAGAACCATGTTATGAAAGACTCACAATTTCTCTTTCAAAAGTATAGAGTCAATAAAATTTAATAAAAGTGGTTTAATGAAGTACCTTATAAACAATTTGATGATAAGCACAGGGTGTAAAATAAATGTTCACTGAAGAGAAATAAATTTTCTTATTTTATTTGTCTTATTTTTATTCAAACTGCTAATCAAAGTTCTGTTTAGTGAAATGTCAATTTAGCACACTATGAAATAGCTATAAGAACAGAAAAGTTAACAATGTAAAAACTAATTTGGGCGTCCTCGTGCTACACCTAAACTTGTTAAAAGTCCAAAAGATGTAAAGAAATTGATAAAAACAACACAGTAAAACTGGTACACGAACAATACAAGAAACAAAAACCACACAATAAAACATTGCATGATAATTCTCCAGTAAATAAAATAAAGTCTGAAACATTTTGAATTTCATATCAACTAAACATTCTGAACTTTTTTAAGCGTTTTAAGTTATTATTCAGATATTTTCCTTTAGTAAATTCAGTGGTAATCAGATATTTTCCATATAATCAATCCAATTGTCTTATAATTCAGTATGTTGTTGTTTTGTAACAAGTTAATAGCCACTACTGAATAGTCTGAACATAGACTGAACATATCTTAATTGACTGTAATTAACTGAAGATTTCATAGAAAATTCGGATATGGAGAGTACAGCGAGCTTAGTGTTTGATATGCTACAATAAACTATGCTTGAAAAGTCAAAGGATAAACTCAGACTGCAGTAACATTGATCTTTTATCTTTTTATCATATACATGATATATGAATGAAGATATGGGATTAGACGTCAATGAGATAGCAACCCATGAGACATCATTAAAGTACATCTAAGTTCCTATCGTACTTATACCTTTTTTCCTTGATAACCAGTGAAACAAACTGCAAGAATGTGAAAACGCTTAATTTTAACAAAGGTGTTTTGCAAAGGTTTGTAATTTATTACAGGTTGGGTTATCAATTAGATAGAAAATGAATATAAACCTTTTGTTTGAATATAATTTTAAGCATGGTGTAAGCATATAATCGATTACGTTTGAATTTGTTAGTCTATAAGACATTAAACCGAATAGTAAAAGGCTAAAAAAATAATAAAGGCTTAGTATTTTTAAACAACAATTCCATACAATGTGCACAAGTAAACGCATTTACTTGGAGAATTTAGTTTTTAAACTGTCATCATGTCCATTCACAAAGATTGACAATACTTGGCTTCATTGTTGTGTGTAAAAATTTAAAATACACCATCAATGTACAGTTCATTCAAAGGTTAATGATACAATGTCCACAACTAACAGAAACAATGATATTGCTTTAAATTTAAATTCGAGACAATAGTAGTTAACCGATGTTCAGATCTCATCAATCCATTAAGAAGATACAAATCAAGTTAAAAAAACAAAGATGGATGATATCTCATGAGCTCCAAAAGGAGCGAGATCGGCTGGGTCGACAAGCTAAGCGTTTCAGGATAATAGAACCTTTATACAGTATTTATTGTTAACATGATGTCGTTCAAATAATGCATGAAATATTTGGCACTGGACGTTATTTCTCGTGTTCGTGTGTCTTTAGTGATTCTC